TTTAAAAAATTTATTATTATATATTTATTGATTGATCTTACATAGTTTTGATTAATTATAATATACGACACCCTAATATAATAGTCTTAGTCAGTTTGAGTTTAATAGAATGAATATAAATAGTGTTATTCTTTGTAAATAGTGAGAGGTTCTTCTTTTACTCGATTGGAATAGAGTAATAGTAATTAGGATTTTAGAGGATTCTTTCATGTACTGGCTACACTTTTGAGAAGATACTTACTTGTATCAGTTACATTTTTAGTACTTTTATTGTCTTGTGCATAATAATAAATCATTGGTTTCCTATTTTTAATGCTTACGACCAACAGTTAAATTGGCATCGCAATAGTAAAGTCTCTCCCTTGTCGTAACAACATCTTCGGAACTTCACTTGAAATATTTGCTCCAGTTCGGAATCTTTAGGAACTGGTATTATATACAAACAAATCGTTATTTCGAAATATGTGTACATAGTCTTGGGCTGGTAAAGAAGAGCGGTATATAAAAATTTACTATATAAGTTCGGTATAGGCAGCCTAAATTCTTATAAAAAATCGGTTCTGCCAGATCTGGTTTGTTATAACCCGAGTCCGGTATAAATAGGTTTGGTATATCCAGAGTCGACTGTATCACCCCGTTTCTCAACACGCTACCTTAGGGAAATTTGCGTGTAACCTGTTATCCCCCATCCCTTCCTTATTATATAGAAGATTTATAATTGAACTAATGCTAATTGATGACGTCCTAACAGCTAACACAAGACTCACTGGATTTGTATGACGCTTTATCTTGTTTACTATTGTGACAAGTTAACTCGAATTTAACCCAACCTCTGCATACGTAATTAAATTCTATAATAAATTTCTATTGGTTAAAAATTCACGAAGAATTCGGGGTATTGTAATGGTTTTGTTTGCTGGCCATGGTATAGTATTTTTGGTGACAATACTGAGGTGTTCTCCTATATCAGTCATTATGAATATAACCCAAAGCTTAAATGAAATTTTAATTCAGAAAACTTGGGTAAAATTATCATGCATTTAAAGTTACAATTATACGCAAAATTAACGAGTGAACTGTTCAACCGCTCAAAAATTGTTTCATAGTTCCAGGCAAAATTATGTTGGTCGTGGGCCAGAATTATTTTAACGTTAACTGAATTAATCGGTCAATACGTGTAAATTGTTATACAATTAAAAAAATTTTTCCTTACACAAAGTATGTAGAATTAGCCGTGCTGCGCCCGTGTTTATTTTTCGCCTGTGCGGATCCAAACTTATTACTTAATTTTTGAAATAAAGCAATTTGTTTGGATTCGCACACGTGAAAAATAAATACTATGCATCCTAATAATCCTAACATTAAAACTTTTGCATATTGTTGTTTCGATTTTTAAGTTACACTGTCTGATATTTTGTATTAAGATATATATCCGTAAATTTTTTATTATATATTAACATATCCCTTACTAACCTAAATTTTTAAAAATCTTATAACTAACGGATATTCGAATGCAGTATCCGGTGTTTACCCGTCATATTAAAAAAAAAAAAAGTTTTAAACTGTAACTTTTAGAAATTTTTTAATTAAAACGACTTAAAATCATGAGCATTTAATGACCGGCAAGTGGGCAGTTTTTGGCCATTTGGTTCATGAGATCAGCAGGATTATAAAAGGTTTCAAGAGAAGTTATCTGATATTTGTCAGTAATCGTTGCAACAGTAACTCCAAAGATTTGTACCACTTCATTGGTTGGTTTGGCCACCAGTGTTTTCCCATTACGCATCGGGCATTTAAGTTCACCAGACATCTTGCCCCACTAATAAAATGATTTTTTCAAAAAATTAAATAATCATTCATTTGAAATTCATGCGTCAAATATGAAGCAACTTACATGACGCCATTTAAAAGTAACTCTTGGAGGGCCAGAATAGACTTCGAGAACTTCCCATGCAAAACCAGAGTTCAAAGAATTTCGGAATACTTGGTGAGACTCTTCAAAGCCTAAACGGCTCGCTGAATAGAATTCTGATTCGCCAATAAGTGCATTGTAAGTTCCAATTTTTAACATATCTTCTGCAGTTGACCAAGGGCCACCGTTTGTAGAGAACCTAACAAAGAAAAATAAGTATAAAGAGATTTGCAAGGTATCTAAACAGCAGTTATATCAATAGCAATGGTTGATATTTTTACTTGTAAACTTTATGATCAATCGTGCGCCATTGTTCAGCCTTGGTTTTGTGAGAGGCTTCTTTTTCCCAATTTTTTACAAGATTTGTTACAAGATCCTCAAGCGACCCTGCAGTATGAACCTTAGAACGTTCCTTTTCATAAAGTGCATTGGCTTTTGAGTAATCAGGGGCTTTGCCAAGAAGCCAGTCTACATTGTCTTTAAGGAC